AGATCAGGGGTCAGCAAGTTACAGCCAAATCCAGCCACGTCCCTTTTTGTAAATAAAGTTGTATTAGAACACATTTCTTATTCATGGTCATTCATTCACATATTGTCTAATGGCTGTTTTCACACTTTAAGAGCAAAGTTGAATAATTTGCCTGCAAAGCTAAAAAAAATCTACTACTTGACTCTGCAATATAGATGGCTAAAACATCTGAGTAGATAATTTTACTTATTTTTAGAAACCAGCATAGATATCCAGATCCTGACTCATGGAGCTCATCATGCTCTAACATAGTTACAAGAATTATATACAAATAACTTATAATACAAGGTATAAAAGCTAAGAATTGTAAGGAAGGTAGAGTGTCAGAAAAAGGAAGAGATTGTGCCCTGGCCAATTTGGTTCAGCAGTTGAGTGTTGACCCTTGCATCAATAAGTTGCAGGTTTGATTCTGGTCAAGGGCACCTTGGCTGCAGTTTGTCCCCAGCCCTGGTCGGGTAGTGTACTAGTCAATGTGTCTCTCTCACATCGATGTTTCTCTCTCTCTCTTTCCTTCCCACTCTATCTGATGATAAATGGAAAAATATCCTTGGGTGAGGATTAAAAAAAAAGAAGAGATTGTTTCCGGGGATGGGGGTGAAGGTAGGGTGGGGTGGGGAATCTTGAAAGAAACAGCTTTTACACTGGATTTTGAAGGATGGCTATAATTTTGACATACAGTATGGGAAGACTTTCAGTGTGAAGAAAAGCAAATGTGAAAAGATACAAATACGACAGTGTACTTTGCATGGAGGAGCAGTTAGGAGAAAATGCTAATAAGCATTTTGAAGCCAAGCAAAGGCAAGGCTTTCAGTGTCAGGATCAGCAGTTTAAATTTTAAAAGCAATTAGATTCAAGAACAAAAGAATAACAGTGATTCAAACTAAATTTGAGGGGAGACAGGTGATAAGGAGACTAGTTACAAAGGTATTAAAATAATCCAAAAGAACAGTAATGGTAGTGGGGGAAAAAATGGAATAAACACGTTACTATCATAGCAAAAACACTCAAGTACTTATGACCAGACAGCAGCATTTGGATATACTATATAAATCTCTTACTTATATGGGGTAAAAACTCTTCATCTCATCTACCTTTGGACAAAATGATTATTTATTAGTTCTGATAATTAAAAAAAAAGGATTTAAGTAATAATTTAAGATTCTAGACTATCATTGTTCCATTTTTAAACTAACTCTAGGTAAAAGCACATATTCAAATATGATTCATTTGATAGAACCCCCTCTGATAAACCACTGGAAGGAAAGTCTGATTTTAAATTTGGGTTCTTAATTGCTTCCGCTGAATTGTTGAAAACAATACACAGATTTGTTTAATAGCAGCTCTTCTCCATGCATACCAAATGCCCTCCTCTGGAGGGGAACCATAAATATAACAATATATATAAACCAAAATATCTTTTCTCTGTATTTTCCAAAGCACCAATAATTTTATTGCTGCTTAAATTGATTAATTTTTAAATAAGAGATTTTATATTCAAATCTCATAAATATTTAAATAACACACTCAACTAAGAAATTTACTTACTAGTATGAGGAGAAGTTGAAATTCATCAGACTGAATTTTTACAGGTAAGGAAATAATGCTAAAGACAGTTTTGTTTTCATTTATTTTAAATGTTTTAAAAAAGGATTTTAGAGAAAGGAAGGAAGAGGAAAAGAGAGAGAAACAAACATCAATCAGCTGCCTCCTGCACGCACCCCGATGGACCAAGGATGGAGCCCGCAACCTGGGCATATATGCCTTGACAGGGAATTGAACCAGTGATCTATTAGTGCACAGGTCTATGCTCAACCAACTGAGCTACAGTGACCAGGGCAAGAAAATTTTATATTCTGTTCATTAAGAACTAAGCTGCAGCCCTGGCCAGTTTGGCTCAGCGGTTAGAGCGTTGGCCCATGGTCCAGAGAGATCCGGGTTCGGTTCCCGCTAAGGGCATATATTTCGGTTGCAGTTTGTCCCCAGCCCTGCTTGGGTAGTGTGGGTGGCAGCCACTCAATGTGTCCCTTTCACATCGATGTTTATCTCTCTCTCTCTCTTCCTCTCTCTCCCTCCCACTCTATCTGAATAAAAATGTCCTCGGGTGAGGATAAAAAAAAAAAAAATAAAGAACTAAGCTGCAGCTCCTCTGTCAGTGGCTTCTGGCAAGGCTCTAACCCAGTGGTTCTCAACCTTCCTAATGCTACGACCCTTTAATATAGTTCCTCACATTGTGGTGACCCCCAGCGAAATAGAATTATTTTCGCTGCTACTTCATAACTGTAATTTTGCTACTGTTATGTCTTAGGTGACCCCAACCCCCAAAGGGGTTGCGACCCACAGGTTGAGAACCGCTGCGAGGCAATGAAAGTCAAGTCAAAGATTGTATATTAGGGAGTAGGAGAAAGGGATAAGACAAGGAATTTCTCCCTGCCTTTCTCTTAACCTAAGACAATCTCTCCAGTGGCTTCAACTCCTGGAAAAGTCCAATTTCCCCCAGGTAACCTGAGTCCCTGACCCCCAGGACTCATCTCCTACTTGCTTCTCATTACTGCTAATCTCTGGGATGCTTTACCACCCTCGTTTTCGCTTCTCACATCTTCTGTCATTTATGTAACCAATTCTCTGAGTTAAAGTCCCACTATGTAAAAAGAGGAGGGAGGGATAGAGGAACGGAAAGAAGACAGCAAAATGGCCTAGAGATCTATCTTTTCTGACTCTAGTGTACCCAGCCACCATTAGCCTCATTTCATAATGGAAAAGAAACAGCAATAACATAAGTAAACTTTCTAGGTCATTTGTATAAACCTTCTTCTCAAACTGAGGTATATGTTGCTTTGCAGTATGTGGTATGCCAGGTTGATTTATGTGAAACTACAGAGTAAGCATGTCATATTTCTCTGTTGTGTCCATGGTAAGTGATTTAAAATTTTATTTGTATAGTAAAACCAACCATAGGCTGCTGTCAATTCAATGGGGAGTAGTCTTCAAAAATGGCATTGGGACAACTGAGTATCCACAGGCAAAGAATGAAGTTGGATCCCCTACCTCATACTGTATACAAAAACTAACTCCAAATGGATCATAGACCTAAATTTAAGAGCTAAAACTACAAATTCTTTCTTTTCTTTTTTTTATCCTCACCCGAGGACATTTTTCGATATTTTGTTCACAGAGTGGGAGGGAGAGAGAGAGCGAGAGAGAGAGAAACATCGATGTGAAAGGGACACATCGAGTGGTCGCCACCCACACGACCCAACCAGGGCCAGGGACAAACTGCAACCGAGGTACGTGCCCTTAGCGGGAACCGAACCCGGGTCTCTCCAGACCGCAGGCCAACGCTCTAACCGCTGAGCCAAACCGGCCAGGGCTAAAACTACAAATTCTTAAAAGAAAACAGGTATAAATCTTCATGACCTTGGATTAAGTTATGGTTTCTTAGATATGACACCTAAGCAGTTAGCAATCTAAGAATAAAAGTAAATTGGACTTCCTCAAAATTGAACTTTTGTGTTTCAAAGGACATTATCAAAAAAGTGAAAAGACAACCCACAGAACGGGAGAAAATATTTATGCATTATACCTAATAAGGGACTTGTATCTAGAATGTGTAAAGAAATTTTACAATTCATAACAAAATGACAAACAACCCAATTAAAAAATAGACAACTGATATGAAAAGAGATGATACATATATGGTCAACATCACTGGCCATCAGGGAAAAGCAAATCAAAACTACAATGAGCCCTGGCCAGTTTTGCTCAGTGGTTAGAGCGTTGGCCCATGGACTGGAGAGTCCTGGGTTCGGTTTCCCCTAAAGGCATGTACCTTGGTTGCAGTTTGTCCCTGGCCCCGGTTGGGGTTGTGTGGGTGACAGCCACTCAATGTGTCTCTCTCACATCGATGTTTCTCTCTCTCTTCCTCCCTCTCCCCCTCCCGCTCTATCTGAAGATAAATGCAAAAATGTCCTCTGGTGAGGATAAAAAAAATTTTTTTTAAAGATACAAAACCACAATGAAATAGTTGTTGAGGGCAGAATGTGGGAAAGTAGACTGCAAGGGGGCATGAAAGAACTTTCAGGGGAGAGGGGGATGGTGTACACCCTGAATGGGACATATACATTTGTCAAAAGTCATCAACCTATACACTTAAAATCTACACATTTTATTATATGTAAATTATACCTCAATTTTTAAAAAAGAGAGCCATCTAGAGTCAATTTTTCCAACAATGTAAGAAACAAAGTATCAAATATGTTCAATTACCTACCTATGCTATTATACAATTAGTAAAAACTGAAAGAGAAGCTATTTTTCTGCCAGAACAAAGAAGTACCAAATTAACTGATGCAAAGGTCTTTTAGAAATATAGAAAATGACTAAAGTATTAGATAAGCACACATTTGGGGTTGTTTCTACTATAAACTGTGGATTTCACAGGAAAACACTGTTTTGGCTACTAAAATATAAAATTTTCATATTAGATGTTATTATTGTAGTACTATCTATAGTAACATTACACAGTACCATAACATAACTGAGCAATTACATTTAGCAGAGACTGAATAACCACAAAAGTAGTCTCATAAAAAACTACTTTACTTATGAAAATTTCTAGAAAATTGGTGACATCTCAATAAGTTATTTTCAGGGATGTTTACACCAACAATTTTGTTACATCAGTATTAGTTGTTTGAAATGACTTTGTGTAACTATTTAAACATAAACGAAGTTCACAGTTTTTGAGGGGGGATAATCAGATTATCCATGTATCACTTATAAAGAAAATCAGTGGAACTTCTTTCTTTATTCCTTTTGACAATTCTGTAAATTATAATTAATATATTCCAGGGAAATTGTATTGACAAATAACTAAGACAAGCAAAGACATCAAATTCACAAGTTCAATTAAAATATATATATATATTCCTGACAATTTCATAGAAAAACATAGGTTCCCTTACCTCATCATCATCAGAATCATTCCCAAACACTGATGGTTTTTGCAAAACAGGGTGCAACCGCTGTGCTTTCTTTGGCAAAATAAGCCCATACCTGCATATTTTTTTTGAAATAGAAATTACACCATTATATTTGAATGTTAAAGCATAATACATTCACTATCTCTTCCAGATGAAGCCACCAAGTCAAAACATCATATAGCCTATGAACACACAAGTTTCTGATCTTCAGGCATCTCAAAATTCTAATGTGTTAAGATTTTATAGTTATTACTCTAAGTGATTATGTGTAGCACAAGCCAAACTCAAATACCATTTTAATCAAAGAAAAGTAATTGAAGAATTCAGAAGTGTTTTAGATGGTAAAATGATAATAAGCTTTTAAAAAGAACATGTTAGTGGAAAGCTCAGTTATGCCCACTAAAAATAAAACCGCTCTAATTTACCCTGTGGTCTAACAAGAGTCAAGAAAATAGTTTTTCCCCTCGGCTGCGTACTTATACAGTTTTTAAAAAGTTACTGGATAATGTCACCCACATTTTTTTTTTTAAGATTACATTAACTGAAAAACTCAAGTAGTGATAGGGTAAATTCTCATTACACTTTAAGCTCACTTGCTTTGTCTTGGAGCATCTGAGAGAACCATCCCAACAGAGCCAACTCATTTAGTTTCTTACATTTTGGCCTTTAAGATGCAGCAATCACAGGAAGCCACATCAACAGTCAGGACTACACATCAAAGGTAAAACTTCTAAGAACATACGACATTTGTCTTTTGCGGCAACGTAAACCCCAATTCTCTATATGCCTACCCTTTTTGTGGCTTCTCAGCACAACATTCCTAAAACGAGAAGGGAGGGCGGGAATCAAGACTTGAGCTGCCAAGAACAAGGCCCTCTAAGGAAGCCAGGGATTGTCTCTTCTTATTGCCCCTGAAGGCATCCAAACCGGGAGAAACTCAAGCGCGGGGTAGGAAGCAAGACTGAGGGGCCTCAGACCGAGCTTTTGGAAAATAGAAAAGTCTCGCTCTCTGCCCCTCAGCCTAACTTCCTTTATTTCCTCACAAGTTTCTCCCTCAAACTTCAGGCTTCCATCCTGGAAAATGTGGGGGGAGGGAGGGAAATATGTTCCTCGGGATTTCTCGCTTTTCCCCGTCTCTATCCCTGACGATACAGCCCCTTCACTTCCAGCGCGCTTTTACTCCTCGGCCAAAGTCACAGTCGCCGTAGTTTCTCACTCCCCAGCCTAACCCTAACTCCCGGATCACTCACTGCCTGCCCGGAATCGCCATCTTGCTCCCGTCTCTGCTGAACGTGGCCGACGCCGACGTGACGCTGACACAGACGCTGACGTAGTCACGTAAACTCTCGCGCGGCTTTGGGCGGCCAGGAACCCGTGAGGCCGCTGAGTCTCTTTTGAGTTGATTCAAACAGTTTGGAAACGCGTCCTTTGGCCGTGGGTTTCGCTTGAAACCTGACTGCCTGCCTCGAAATCAGTGGGGAGACGAGTGACAGAATACTAGGCCAGTGGTTCTCAAGGTGTGTTCCCAGGACCAGCATATTAGCATTACCCGGGAATGTGTTAAAAATGCAAATTCTAGGGCCCTGTCCCAGAGCTACTGAATCAGGAATTCTGGGGTGGGGCCCAGAAATCCGTATTTTCACGAGCGCTCCAAGTGATTCTGATACTCAGGTTTGAAAACCGCTACCCTCAACTATCAATTTTTTTTCCTCTGAGGTGTTCAGTATGAGTATATCTGGCTTTGGGTAGTTTCATAGAAGATGAAAATCTATGTGCTAATACTGTCTCATTATAGGACCAAATAATTCCATAGCATCACTGGATAACAGAATCGAAATCATATACCATACTCCTTTTTAAAAGTTCTAGGCACAGCTAGGCCAGTGTTGATCAGTGAACTGAGTGTTGTTCCGGGGACTGAGAGGTCCGGATGGATTCTGGGTCAGGGCACATGCCAGGAGGGAACCTGCAGGAGGCAGCCAATTAATGTTTCTCTCTCACATTGATGTTTCTATCTCTCTTCCTTCCTCTCACATCTAAAAAAATCAATAAAAACATAAAATAAAATTCTAGTCACAGTCTGTGCACCCACTCACTCTTGACCTATTCCAAACTAGTCTTATAGCAGTCCAAGAATCCTTTCAATTTCTACAGACAGATGTTTAAATGTTCAACCATAATTGTGGATTTGTCTATTTCTCCTTTTAATTCCATCAGTTTTTGTTTTATGTATGTGGAAGACGTTTAGGATTATGTCCTCTTGCATTGACCCCTATACCATTAAGAGATCACCCTTTTTTTCTGTGTAAAATCTTCATATTTATTCCATAATAATGGTACCTCTCTCCTATTGTCAGAACTTTGTTCTCAAGTAAAAACAGGACTGCAATGCCATTACTTTGACTTCATGACCTTCTCTCAAATATGGTTAATAAGGAAAGGCAATAATGGTAATAATGATTTGTCTAGATGCCCAAATAATGCCTGAAACATTCTCCAAACACTCCTGTAAAAAATTCTTTCTCTGGAATTGAAGCAATGATCCTCTTTATTTTTGTATCTTATTTACTTTATCTGATAGTAACATAACCAGCTTTGTTAGCACAGTATATCTGTTTTTGTCTTTTTAACCAATTTAATCTATTTGTGTCTTTATATTCAAAGTGGATATCTTGGTGATAGCATATAGTTGTGTCTTGCTTGCTTATCCAGTCTGACAATTGCTTCCTTTTTATTTGGATGTTTAGATCATTTTCATTAAAGTGATTATTAGTATTGTCGAAGTAAGAAACGTCCAAACTTACAGAGAACCTTTATGAGTTTATTTGAGCCAAACTGACAATTGCCGGGAAGCAAAATCTCAACAGATGAGAAAATGTTCCAGAAAATGGCTTTTTTTTTTAATCTTCACTCGATATTTTTACATTTATCTTCAGATAGAGCGAGCGAGCGAGAGAGAGCGAGAGAGAGGTGAGAGAAACACATCGATGGGTCAGGGCCTGGGAGGAACTGCAACCGAGGTACGTGCCCTTGGCCGGAATTGAACCCAGGACTCTCTGCTTTGTGGGCTGATGCTCTACCACTGAGCCATAATGGCCAGGGCAAGAATGGCATTTTTGCGGCTTATTTTATACATTAGAATAAAAGGAGGAGACATAAGGAGGAAAGGTTACATGAAATACATTGGTGGTAAATTAGAGGGGTGGGAGAAAGAGGAAGAGAGAAACAGAAAGAGAAACATCGATTTGTTGTTCCACTTATTTATGCATTCATTGGTTGATTCTTCTATGTGCCCTGACTAAGGATCTATCCCACAACCTTGGTGTATTGTGACAACACTCTAACCAACTAAACAACCCCCGGGCAGGGTTCCTTTTTCTTACTTTTTAAAGATATTGCTTTAGGGTTTCCAGTACACATCTTTTTTTTTTTAATTTTTTTTTTTTCAAATCTTTATTGTTGGATATAAAATGTATTACAGATGTTCCACATTTTTCCCCCATTGACCCCCCTCCTCCCCACTCCCGCCCCCCTCCCACCTTTTCCCACACTATTGTCTGTTGTCCATTGGTTATGCATATAAGTTCTTTGGTTTATTTCTTCCCACCCCCCCCCCCAACCCCTTTCCCTTTGAGGTTTGTCAGTCTAGCAATGAATTTGTGCTTCTTAATCCCTTCACCTTTTTCACCCATTCCCCCAACCCCCTTCCCAACTGGCAACCAACAAAATGTTCTCTGTATCTATGAGAATGTTTCTGTTCTTCCTGTTCATTTTGTTTGTAGATTCCATTGTTGATAGATATGTATTCATTGCCATTTGTTTGTTCATACATTTTATCTTTTTCTTCAAAAAGACCCTTCATCATTTCATATAATAACGGTTTGGTAGTGATGAACTCCTTTAACTTTTTCTTGTCTGGGAAAGTCTTTATATGTCCATCAATTCTAAACGACAGCTTTGCAGGATAGAGTAATCTTGGTTGTAGGTTCTTGCTTTTCATCACTCTGAATATTTCTTGCCACTCCCTTCTGGCCTGCAAAGTTTCTTTTGAGAAATCAGCTGACAGCCTAATGGGTACTCCCTTGTAGGTAACTAGCTGCCTTTCTCTTACTGCTTTTAAGATTCTCTCTTTGTCTTGAACCTTTTGCATTTTGATGATGATGTGTCTTGGTGTGTGCCTCTTGGGGTTCATCTTGTTTGGGACTCTCTGTACTTCCTGGACTTGTATGTCTGTTTCCTTCACCAAATCAGGAAAGTTTTCAACCATTATTGTTTCAAACAGGTTTTCGATTTCTTGTTCTCTCTCTTCTCCTTCGGGCACCCCCAAGATGCGAATGTTGTCACGCTTGAAGTTGTCCCAGAGGCTCCTTACACTATCCTCATTTTTTTGTATTCTGTTTTCTTTTTGCTGTTCTGATTGGGGATTTTTTGCTTCCTTATATTCCAAATCGATGGTTTGCTCCTTGGATTTACATACTCTATTATTGAAGCTGTGTAAATTATTCTTTATTTCAGTTAATGCCTCCTTCAATTCTAACTGTGTATCCATGATTTCTAACTGGTCCTTTTTTATGCTCTTGAGGCCCTCCCTAAGTTCACTGAGGTTCTCACTAAGTTCATTGAGCATCCTTATAAGCAGCATTTTGAACTCAGTATCTGTTAGGTTGCTTATCTCCCTTTCGCTTAGTTCTTTTATTGGGGTTTTGTTCTGTTCTTTCATTTGGGACCTGTTTCTTTGTATCCTCATTTTGGCTGCCTCCCTGTGTTTGTTTCTGTGTATTACTTAATGAGAGGTATGGGGCTCGCTGAGACCCGATGCTGCTCGTTTGAAAGAATTTAGGAAAAACCTGAAGCAGGATCCAAGACCGGCCAATCCTATAGTTAAGCAAGTGGCAACAGCTTGGGTGGGCTTGAAAGTTGTGTGGGGCGTGGCGGGGCCACCAGTGTGAGCCAGGTTGCTGGAGTCCCAGATATGGCTTCTGTCTGCCGCCCCCGGGAAGGGCTCACCAAAGGAACAAAGGCCTCTTACAGCACGTTTGTCCCCGAGGAAGCCCCCTCTCCAGCCCTCGCTCCAGTGCCAACCAGCTCAGTTCTTCCCTGTATGTCTCTGGCGCCCCTGGAGCTGCCTCCTCTCCGAGCTTAGAGGGAGAGAGTCCGATAAGTCCGTGCGCGGGCCCTTTAGGGAGCTGCCTGGGGCTCCAGCCGCTTCAGCTTCCCTGAGCCTCAGTTTCTGCTGGTTTTTCCAGCCAGAAGTTATGGGGACTTCTCTTCCTGGCACTGGAACCCTGAACGGGGCACCTGGTGTGGGACGGGGACCCCTCAGTCCTCAGGAAGGATCTTCCCAGCCGCGGGAGACTCCTGATTTTTATCCGCCACGCTTGGGTGTGGGACCAGCCCATCGCGCCGCCACGCCGCCACCACCACCACCGCTGCTGACACGCCGCCGCCACCCCTCCTACCAGTCTGGATGTGGCTGCTTTTTTTTTTTAATTCCGTAGTTGTACGACTTCCATTCAGCTTGATTTCAGGCGGTTTTGAATGATGGTTGTTCTGTAGTTTAGTTGTAACTTTGATGTGGTTGTGGGAGGACACGATACCGCGTTTACCTACGCCGCCATCTTGACCGGAAGTCCACAGCAATCATTTCTGGGTTTCCCGGGTCTCCCTCCCAGTACACATCTTTAACTTATCACAGTCTATCTTCAAGTAAAAATATACCAATTTATGTATTGTATAAAAAAACCTTACGTCCCTGGCTGAGTAGTTCAGTTGGTCTGGATTGTCTACACCATACAGTGTCACTGTCATCTGTAAGCTGTTGAGAAAGAACCAATAAAAATTCAACTAACCAAGTCTAGGTTTCTGAAGTAGACACTTAATTGTTCTGAGCCTGTTTCATCTTCCATAAAACAGGGATAATACCTGTTTTAAGTAAATCAATGTCTATTTAGTCCAGCGTTTTTCAACCAGTGTGCTGCAAGAATTTTTAAAACGTGCAGTATCTGATGTTAAATAGTCAACCGGGGTGCTGCGGTACATGCATGTTTTTAAAATTCCTGCGGCACACTGGTTGAAAATTGCTTATTTAGTCAAATAGATTTAAATATAAATCTATATGTAAATTTTTTGTCAAGTATAAGAAATATCTTCTTCATTAAAAGGTAAGCTCTTGAATGATGGTTAAATACATTCAACCAATCTGCCTTGCTGGTTGTTTAATTTTAAAGTAGTCCCGAAAGACTGAATGCACAGTCGTTAGCCTAATAAAGGTTGGAAAGTGTTAGC